TGTAGCTGCTCAGAACACATGCAAGGAAGGTATTCTTAGGCCTGATGAAACAAACATGACCGCAGAGCTCATATAAACTGATTGTGTCAATTTTTCCCAGAGAAACATCATAATGAGAGAATCATTGATCGGCTGCCTCCTGCATGTCCCCTACTTGGGATCGAGCCCACATCCTGGGCATGCGCCCTTACCAGGAATTGAATCTTGACCTCTTGGTTCATAGGTCCACACTCAACCACCTAGCCACACCAGCCGGGCCAAAATATATTTTTAATTCCTTTGGGCTATTTGGGTTTGAGGTTTCAAAAATTCAATATTTATCATAAACTCTGAGATAAATGAAAGATAAATTTTATTTGTTCAAATATTTCCTTTGAAGGAATACAAAAGAAAACGTACATAAAACCATGTCCTACCTACTGCTACGAAGTAAACGCACTAGTGATTTAGAAATAATGCCAGCTTCAGATTTTGGTGATATGTGCCAATACAGCTGAGCAACTGCCATAACCACCTAAAAAATAAAAGCATGAAAACAATCAGAACTATGAACACTGGAGCACACTACAGTTTCAAATAACATTCTTACATATTATTGCCTTTAACTCCTACAAAATTCCTATGAAATACGATGAATATGTTACCTTTTGTAGCAAGTAATTAGTGTCCCTGCCCCCAAAATGTTATGCCTTAGTTTAAAGTACATTCCCCTACAAACAATTAATAAGTTAGATTTGATTCATGATGAGTAAGAGTTAAAACCAATTTTATAATACTGTATTCCTAATATGTAAAGCCAATATGTCTACCCTCAAATGTTACCTTACCTGGAAATAAGGTCTTTGCAGATGTTATTAATGTAATGATCAGGATGAGATCATACTGAATTAGGGTGGGCCCTAAATCCAATGAAAGTGTCCTTATAAGAGACAGAAAAGGACACAGAGACACAGAAAAGAAAGCAAATTGACAACGGAGGCAGATATAAATGGTAAAGTGATAAGCCATTCAAGCAGGTATCTGGGGTTCATTTACCTTCTATAATTGAAACTTCGTTGCTTTGAGTGGAGCTCAGAGCCGGCCATGGCAGCTTGGCTTCCTCCATCATTGGGCAACCAAGCCTCCTGCTTGCTCCAGCTCCGTGGCTCCAGCTCGAATGCCAAGAATTGTTGGTAACCACCAGAAGCTAGCAAAAGGCAGTTTTTCCCTCAGAGCCTCTAAATTAACAGCATTTTTAATTTTTTTAAAATTTATCTTTATTGTTGAAAGTATTACAGATGTCCCTTTTTTTTCCCATTGACCACCTTCACCCTACACCTGCCCCTCCTAGCCTTCACCAAACTACTGTCTGTGTCCATGGGTTATGCATATCTACACTAATAAAAGAGAAACATGCAAATTGGTGTCACTCCGCTACGCCCACCAGCAAATCAGATGAGTATGCAAAGTAACCCAACAAAGATGGAGGTTAGTTTGCATATGCAGGAGCAGAGCGAAGACTGAAGACAGCATAGAAGGAAGCCAAGCCTGCAGAAAGGAGAGAAGCTGCAGAGAAGCAAGCGGGGCGCCGGAGGCGGGAATGAAACCCACCTCGGCAGGGTTTCTTCCCT